CTGAAATGAATAAACCTGGTCTCGGTGTCATGTGACCATTGGGGATGAGTGACTCCGCCTTGTTGTCAGATTGCTGTGGTGTCACTGGTACCCATAGAAGATTCTTTCCTCCCCTCCCCCAGGGATCCGTTCTTTGGCGGGATGACTCAGGAAGAAGAGGATGAAGATGAGGAGGATGAAGACTTCTTCCAGGGCCCCCCCGGGCACGGCTTCCAGTCCCCCTCCTGGGGGGGGCGCCCCCCGTTCCACGACCCGTTCGGCTTCGAGGAGATTTTCCGCGACTTCAATGAACTCTTTGCCGATTTTGGTTCCGTGATCCGCGACGTCCCTCGTGAGTCTCTTTTATTGTCCTGAAATCTGAAACTCCGCCGCCATCCAGATACAGACTGGATAGAGACACAGGGGTCCTCAACTGTGGCCCCTAACAGCTCCAAAGGGCCACAGCTTGTTTGGGTAATTGGTTCCCTTTGCCGTCTCTGTAGGGTTCCCGGGGATCGAGCCGCCAACACCGAGTCCAGAAGGATCCAGAGGAGGTTCCCTGCGAGACTCCATGCTAAAGTATCCAGACTCTCACCTACCCAGAGAGCCGAGGTCGTCTTCCCAGGATCCCCCCGCAGAGGAGGGGCCCCCGCAGGCAGACAGGGCCCCCCAGGGCAGGAGAGGCTGGGTGAGTTACCCCTAATAACCCATCCCCCCCAGACCCGGGAACTCAGCACAGGGATAGTGGGAGCCCCTCATAATGGGCACAGCAGGGGTACAGACCCGGGAACTCAGCACAGGGATGGTGGGAGCTCCTCATAATGGGCACAGCAGGGGTACAGACCCGGGAACTCAGCACAGGGATGGTGGGAGCTCCTCATAATGGGCACAGCAGGGGTACAGACCCGGGAACTCAGCACAGGGATGGTGGGAGCTCCTCATAATGGGCACAGCAGGGGTACAGACCCGGGAACTCAGCACAGGGATGGTGGGAGCTCCTCATAATGGGCACAGCAGGGGTACAGACCCGGGAACTCAGCACAGGGATGGTGGGAGCTCCTCATAATGGGCACAGCAGGGGTACAGACCCGGGAACTCAGCACAGGGATGGTGGGAGCTCCTCATAATGGGCACAGCAGGGGTACAGACCCGGGAACTCAGCACAGGGATGGTGGGAGCTCCTCATAATGGGCACAGCAGGGGTACAGACCCGGGAACTCAGCACAGGGATGGTGGGAGCTCCTCATAATGGGCACAGCAGGGGTACAGACCCGGGAACTCAGCACAGGGATGGTGGGAGCTCCTCATAATGGGCACAGCAGGGGTACAGACCCGGGAACTCAGCACAGGGATGGTGGGAGCTCCTCATAATGGGCACAGCAGGGGTACAGACCCGGGAACTCAGCACAGGGATGGTGGGAGCTCCTCATAATGGGCACAGCAGGGGTACAGACCCGGGAACTCAGCACAGGGATGGTGGGAGCTCCTCATAATGGGCACAGCAGGGGTACAGACCCGGGAACTCAGCACAGGGATGGTGGGAGCTCCTCATAATGGGCACAGCAGGGGTACAGACCCGGGAACTCAGCACAGGGATGGTGGGAGCTCCTCATAATGGGCACAGCAGGGGTACAGACCCGGGAACTCAGCACAGGGATGGTGGGAGCTCCTCATAATGGGCACAGCAGGGGTACAGACCCGGGAACTCAGCACAGGGATGGTGGGAGACCCTCATAATGGGCACAGCAGTTGGCACAATACCCTAGACAGGGGGCTCATTACTGTTTCTTGGTGTCTTCCTGTACAGGTTGAAGATAAAGGTGGAGTTGCCCCTTCATC